TTTTATAATGGTTAAAGTGATTATTTTAAGTAACCTTCAAAGCATAAGTTTCGAGGCGTTACAGGTGCGGTCTGTGGTGCTATTTGAGCTCTCTAATTATTACTCCATTGGAATCTTGGGTGATTTCTCCAGCCTGGATATTAGGTGTTAGGATTTGAATTGTGTTGTTGCCTTTGAAAATTTTGAGTGTAATTCACATCCTCCACTGTCAGAACAAAAAGAAACCCTACATTACAATCAACACTTTTGTGGTTCCTGCCACAATGTGTGCATTTTGGTCCAACCATCTGAATTGCACTCATTTGTTCCATTTCCTGAGCTAAAGTTGTCAATTGTGCTGAGATTGTGTCAATGGATCCACCTCATGTAATCCCCGCTACTTTATTTACACTTGTTCTTTCTATTGGCCACAGTACACTAGTAAATGCCAAATCCTCCATGATTTGGTAGACCTGATCCACAGTTCTTTTTGTGATAAAATCATCACATGCAGAGTTTACGATCACCCCGCTAATCGAGTTCAGACCAATGTAAAAGTATTGCACCTGAAGCTACTTCTGTAGTCCGTGTTAGGGACATTGGCAAAGTAAACCCTTGTATCGTTCTCAAACCTCAGAATAGCATTATGAGTCCATTTGTTGAAAAGCGGTGATCCCATCCCTTAGCTTTGCAATCCTTTTCGGTAGGAAATATTTGCTAAGGGATTTTTTATTCAATTGGTTTCATGTTGTGATGCTTTTGTAGTGGACAAGTGTTTAACCATTCTCTTGCTGCGTTCCTCAATGTGTGTGGAAAGAGTCATAGTCTGATTGCTTCGTTTAAAACCCCTCAAATACTCAATTGTTGCACACATGTCCAGAAAATCTTGATGTATAAGCATTGGAATTCTTTGTAGCTCTCCCAAAAAATTGTAGCGCATTTCGGAACATGTTGATAACATCCATCCTCAGGTGGAAGTTTGCCTGACAAATGGTGGATATATGATACTGGACTGATTTTTAACGACCGGTAGAACCATATACTCTTTCATGAGCATTGCGTTTTCATTAGCTGTGGCTATAATCAGTTGTGCTACCACCAGATTAGCTCCGATAGCTATTTGATTAGGATTTTCATTTGCTATGTCCACCTCTTTTTATTTTTTGTGTGTTTCAACCTGTTGTCTTCTTTGAAGGTTGAATGTTTGTTTGATTTTATGGTTAAATTGAGCAATATTATCGGTTCTCGAACTTTGCATACAGGTCCTTGAAAAAGAAAGGAAGAAACACTGTAAAAATTTTCAAAATTAATGAACAAAACTAAAAAAATAAAAATAAAAACAGATTAAAAGGTAAAATTAGTCGAAACTTATCAAAAACTATAATCCCCAACAACGGCGCAAAAAACTTGGTCGTTTGATTACTCACAAGTGAACGAGATTGTGAACAAATAATATAGAAGTGTGTAAAATGTCGAAACCTACGAGGATTATGTGCTTGGTCGAGTTAAAGCTAAAAATTCCCACAATTGAATAGTGAAATCGGGTTGTAACCAACACTATTAAATCTATTGACTAACTTGAAAGCAATTTAAAAATTTATCAAATTTGTGAGATGTATTGATAAGATGTAGAATCCCCCTTATTAATCCCTTTTTAGTCCAACAATTTAAAATGACAATTTGAAATCATACTTGTTAGTCAATGTTCCTATTTTAAATAAAACATTCTCTCGATAATTATCAAATATATTCCCCTCATGTGACATTCCTATCTTTTGATGAAAGATGTGAAGACGATAAATGTATTACATGAGCTAAAAAAATTTTAAAAACCATGTGAAGTATAGATGTATATCTCTATTTTCTATCGAACTTTACAATGTTTATTATTTTATGTTAACGATCCTATTGTCTCTCTTGATAATAACAAAATCCACAAATAATTCAACTAGTTATCAATTAATTGAAAAGCATGAAAAACGACGAAAAACATCTAAGAATTCAAACAAATTTATTGTCAATCTAATTATTGAAAACAAAAATTTCATAACGAGAGTTCATCACATCCTAGCAATATGAAAAATTAGCCACGCGTGATGTCGGAAGTAAACACACAAAAGTAAAAGATATTACCAAAATTTGACGAAACGTGAATTTATTTTCCAAATTTCTCGACTTCTGCACGTGTATCTATATATTTTTAACAAACAGCAATCTTTTTTTTTTTTTTTTTTCATTTGCAGTCGTCGAATTGTATTGCAATTTTCAGTTTTTTCCCTTCAAATTCTGCTGCCTTTTTTCTCAATTTTGTTCTCCAGCAAACTGCCCCTTTTCCTAGAAAATTAGCTACCGTTCTCGGTGTTTTTCTCTGTATATGTGCTGTCCGCTTTCTTCTCCCCTTTTTTTGGTGTTTTCGTAATATGTATTTCCAGCCGCCTTATAAATTTCTGGCCATGTGCATACAAATCTTCCATTTAATGTTCAAGTTGAGGCCCATTTAAGTCCAATGCATTATTTACCTTCAAGGCTTTAAATATTCCAAGTAATGCACTTTAATCCTTGAATTCAATTAATCGTGAAGTCTTTCAATTTCTAAAGTGTAGACATCGATCCCCCAAAATTCCAGATTTCATTCAATTTCGTCATTCATTCTTTTTCAAGTTACTCCAAATGAGCCGAAAACTGAAACAAACGAAAATTAACTCAAAATTAAGTATAAAATCACTAATTTGATGACATACAAGTTTAGTTGTGTGGCATAAATAAGTACACAAAATGCACTTATCACGAATAGATCGATTCGATTTGATTTGGTTCATTTTAAGAGTTAGAGGGAGATGATTTGTATTGAAATTCGTCCAAACTAACTAATTTACTTTTTGTTTCGGATTGGAGCCTAAACCAACCCAAATCAAATTGCACCCAAACCTAGGCCCCGTTTGATTCACATTATTTGGGAAAAAAATATATTTTTAAACAATGATTTGATATCATTTCAACTACACTTTTTTCAATAAAATAATATTACATACAAATCCAAAACTATTCCTCATTTTTTTAACCACACATTTTCCATCAATACACTATTCAAAAATTCATTTTTTTTCCAAAATAATGTGATTTAAATTAGGGCCTAATCAACATTTACCAAGCACAAATAGAAAATTATAATTATGAAGAATTGGCAAAATGACTCTTAACAACGGTCCCTAATCTTTAAATCTTGGTGGAAACATCTTTAACCTTCCATTTTATGAGCAAAATTGGTCTTTTTGGATGGTTTCAATCCATTCGATTAATCATTAAAGATATCAAACTTTTTTATAAGACTAAAACGTTCTTATATATATACATGTGTGACCAAAAAAAAAAAAAACTCATTTTATCAACTAATTTTTGATAAGGACATCTTCAATGCAACTATAAATCGCTTTGCAATTTGTGCTATATAAGCAGACTATAAGGTATTTAAAAAATTCATATCTAATATAAGCAGATAGGGACTCTATCAAAAAGATGTGACAAGGAAAAATCATACATTAAATACTTTCAATCTATATGAAATTGTTGTTTAATGATTAGAAACCAAATTTTAAAATTGACGTTAAGTGAATTGTATAGATTGTTATGTAGGTAGTTTTTATCTTCTAAATATATTAACAAAATCCCATTTCAGTCTACATATGAAAATATAATTTATTTATTTATTTATTTGAGTTAGCCCGCTTTTCGTCTTGATGAACTCCATATCAACTTACATCGAAGATAATTTTGTTAAACATGTTCAAGTTGCTTATATAGCACAATTTTTTGAATTGCGTAGGAGATGTTGTTCTAGCTTATTGATTGACTAAAATAATGAATTGACTTTTCTTTTTATCCTGAATTTTATTTTATTTTTGTTTTTTTATTCAATTAAATTAAGATATTTTAGATTTTATATCGAAGGTTTTAACATTTTTAACCATCAATTGAATGAAAACCATCGAAAATGACCAATTATGCCTAGAAAATTGCAATCATTTTGCAAAGCAACTGCAAAGGTTAAGCACTATTTACGCTATAAATTGCAATCTTTGAGACGAGACAAGATGTGGACAAGTCGTTTGCACTCAGCCACACAACTAAAGCTAAACAAAAAATCCATTCTCTTCTCATCTCATCTCTTCTCCAGGCTAAAAATGGTAGGTTAAAGGTCGGGATAATCTCAATGACATCAATTGCAATTGGCCGAAATCCTCATTTTTGCAGAGACCTACAAATTGAAACCATGCACTAAAGATGGACACGATTCGATGAGGACGGTTTGTTTATTCAAACAACGATTTCACTATACAAAGTAAACTATTAAAAAAATTAATATAGTGATTTAAAATCTGGACATGATGCTCAAATGAAAAAATTTCTGAACAAAAATAAAATAATATTAATATTTTGGTCCATATACAAGCATAAGTTGAATTGTATGATTTTGATTTCAAGTGATTTTTAACTATTGAACACTTAATCGAATTATATTTATTGTTTAATTTTGCTCAATATCGATATGTCATCGAGTTCACGTTGATCCAAATCAAGGATTTTTAGGTTTTATTTTGTAGGTTGATTGTATTTTATTCTCCCATAATAAGCAACCAATAATAAAACCATAGTACTTGATGTATGGCAGCCCGTACACCCCTCTCACAATAAGGGAATCCACAATTATAAAATTTATGTGGACCTCCTCATATTGTAAGAGGGCTTTATATCATAGCTTACAAGAAACTTTATTGATAATAAAATACAAAAGTTAATATCTGCCAATCAAGGAGAGATATTGTAAAATACATGTGTGGGGCTCTCTTACAGTTGGTTCAAATGTCTTCCACAAAACAGCTAACAATTGTTCTCCCCTTCAAGATCAAGATTAAGAGAGAGAAAACTTAGACAGAGAAGGGGATATAGATCTTAGGACACGTGTCATTGAACCCCTTTCCTTCCCATCTTTTCTTTCAGCCACAAAAACCCACAAACTTCCCAAAACCACAAAGCAAGAAAAGATCCTTTGCCACACTTGACACCTTCTCGAATTCTCTAAATACTATTTTATTGCAACAAAATCCAACGTGGCAACCCCCGTTCTTCTCCTTTTCTTGATTTTTTTTCTGTATTTATGCACTACTAACCTTTATTTTTGATCTCTCTTGCGTTTTATTTCTTCAAGATTTTCACTTTTTCCACTCTTCTGTGATCTGTTTCTTAATCTTAGAGCAAAATAGCTTAGCCCTTTTTCTTGTTTCATTCATTTTTTACTTCTTCATTTTTTTTCCCTCTTATTTTTCTGTGTTTTGTAATTCTTGGAGCTATGGTTGCAGAATCTCAGGTATATATTTTTCTTAAAAACCGTTACATATTTTGCTTTTGGTGTAGTATGTGGTTATGATTATATGCTAAGTGTTGAACAATTAATTTCTGGATAAATTTAAACTGAGGAATTTAGATTTAAATCTCATAGTTTTGAAATGACAAGATGGAAGAGTATTTCTATATTTGGTTTCGTATTCGATGCTAATTGCTAAATTACTCATAAAAGAAGCTAAATTTGCAATGCTATTTGTGTCAATCTGATAAATCAATTTTTGGATTCATTTGATAAGTATTTTGGAGTCGGTGTTAAGGAATTGGAACGGTGAAACGAACATATCATCGTACATTCAAGCAAGTTATTGTAGCTAATCTTTCGAGTTTTAGGACAGGTTGTAATTTTGTCCTCTCTTTGGTTGTGGATGACGAGAAGTCTAGTTTAGTTACAAGCCCTTAATCGATATTCCTATCGCATTTTAGGAAATTGATCTGTAAATCTTGAATGGTTTTTAAAAAGTTTTGATAAGCCCCTCCTATCAATTGATTCCATGTCCAGTAGAGCTGTGAAGTCAAGGGGAGGGTAAAGAGGACAGGGATTTGCATTGTGGTCGAGAGTTTAAAATTTTCTCATATTATCCTAATCTAACTGAAACAGGATAAAGGTGGAGTTACTAGCCAGGAAGGTTCAGAAACACAAAATATCTTGGCTGGAAATGGAAATGGCTATCTGCCGAAGGTTTCATTTCTTTTCACGATTTTGTCACTTGTTTCAATCTGAGTTATTCATCAAAGCCACGTAATTAGATGTCTCGTTCTCCATATTAGGTGAGGAAACCTTACACCATTACCAAACAGAGAGAAAGATGGACGGAGGAAGAACATCAAAGGTTCATCGAAGCTCTTAAGCTTTATGGCCGTGCCTGGCGCCAAATCGAAGGTGAATTTGAATTTAGGTTTGCTCAGTTCCTGCAAAAGGAATTCATTCGCTCGTTATATATTCTCTTAATGTTTTAAAGGTTTGTCTTGTGCAGAATTCGTGGGCACTAAAAGTGCAATCCAAATCCGAAGTCATGCCCAAAAATTCTTTGCGAAGGTCGGCCTTAATTCATCAAGGACTAGTCTGTATACTAAATATTACATAAAGATTTGGAGTAGATTTGCTCATTAGCTACAAAAACTTCTTCAATTCCAGGTCAATAGGGATTCAAGTAATGATGCTGAGGGATATGTTAATCCAATTGAAATTCCACCTCCTCGGCCGAAGAAGAAACCTCTCCATCCTTACCCTCGTAAAATAGTTATTTCATCCAAAACAGAATCGATGGTTTCACATCAACCTGAAATAACACCTATACCATACACACTGGCTACTGAAAGAGATAATCTCTCTCTAACCTCGGTTTTATCAGTAATTCGTTCGGTTGCTTTTGAATCTACTGAGGTGCATACATCTCGTCTCTCACCAGCTTCATGCGCTACAGACGCACATTCTGCCAACTTATTATCTACAGAAAATGATAATGAATATGTGGAATTCAGCTTAGCTGCAGAAGATAAGGATGTTCATTTATCATTCCAAATATCTTCTGCTTCAGTACCAGATAATAAATCCGCCATGGTAACCTACATGTTTATCCCTTTCTGAAAACTTTAGTTAATTTTTATTCTCATTTTCATCTCGATCTCCATGCAGAATTTCGAATTGTTTTCTCAAGACACCGCATGTTCCATTGAGCATCCAGCCACCGGAGAACCTCACGCAAGTATTAAGTTATTTGGAAAGACAGTTGTGGTAAGAGATACTCCAAAACAGTCTCTAGCAGTTGGGGAAAACTCTAAATCATTGCCACCCTATGCCATCGACGAGAACTACGACGGCAATAGCGAAAAGCATATTCACGGGTTTACATCAGACAACTTAAATTCACGGGTTGCTTTTGGATTTGTTTCTAACAGTGCAACTCCTCCTCGCTGTTTACCGCAGCATTCATTGAGCAACATGTACTTCAATACGGAGAACCATTCTAGTCTTCCTTTGTGGGTTTATCACAAAGGTCTTGTGTACCCCTATGTCTCATCTTGCATCCGAATAGGTGCAGAGAATGCCGTGGATTCTCCCTTGAGAGAAGAGCTGAAGAACGAAGAGCTTCAAATGAAAAGAACATCTGCTGATTCTGATGGCAGGCTGATTATTGAAGTCAATAGCGAATGTGATTCCTTCGAGTCAAAACGTAAAGAAAAATATAAAAAAGGTTTTGAACCCTACAAACGATGTGTAGCAGAGAGAGACGTGAACTCATCAATCTCTGTTTTAGAGGAGCGGGCAGGTCAAAGAGCTCGTGTTTGCTCATAACAATAGCCTTGTGGCGTAACTGTTTATTCTTGCACGGTCTCAACCAGAATGATTTGCCTTCACTGTGTGGATAGTTGCGTCATTCTTTGCTTTAACCTGTTTGTAGGCATTAATTTTACACACACTAAGAGAGAGCCAGTTGAATATGAGAGGACCGATGCCAATTGTGCAAGTTCCTGCAGCGTTTGCTCAGTTCTCTCAGTTCATGAGTGGCCGTGTCAACAGGAGATGTCGAGATTTTAGTCTTTCTGACTTTCAGCAAAATCTTTAACCCTTTTCGTAACGTTTACATTTCATTTTTGCTGCAACTAAGGCAGTTGCCTCATTTTAATGATAATTGTTCCTCTCGACTTTCTTGCTCCCTTACCCTTTGATTGATCATTAATGCTCTCATCAAATTCACTCCCAACTTTTTCCCCAACGGATCGGCCACCTTTTAGGTGCGAGCAAATCTCAATTTATTTCAATCAGTCCAGTTTGACAAAAAATAGAACTCCCAATAAGACTAACTCGACAACAATGTGATAAATTTATTCTCAATTCTTGAGAGATGACTCTCAACAATAGAACATAACCCTTTTCACATTCTCCCTAAGCTGCGGGAGGGGTCTCACGGCAACATTGACAGCTGGTCCCCGAGTATTCCTTGCAGCTGGACCAGCACCACTTGCCATTGATCCACCATCAGCTGTCTCCTGCTCCATGTAAAACCGAGCACGAAATGCAGCCAAATGTGCATAGTACGCGGGAGGTACTGCAGAAAATAGTTTTTAAGATAAGCTCCTCGTATTCTATTTCTACCAAGTTAAAAAGCTAATAGACAATGCAAGAAAGAAACATACCAATGGAAACAGACCGTGTGCACCGTGCGTATCTGTAAGTTGAAGAGAATAACAAGTTAGCAATTATACCACAAGAATTCACAACGGGAAAACGATCAAATAAAGAATGCATGAAGGGTGCGGCGTTTTATATCCACATTAAGTGAAGGTATGAGGATACCTGTATCCCAGCGTGGCTACAGAGATAGAAGTCAAACTCAGTAGGGTGGCAGATCTTTGAATCTACGACAGTGCCTGTAGAATAAATAAAAATAAGAAAGGCAATCTACATTTTACTCCAGTGCATAAATAGAGCTGAGGACATTCAAATAAAGTACCGGGCAGTATATTTCCACTGCGGTCAACTGCATGCTTGTCATTATGGTTATTGGCAAACAATCTAGTATGATGACGTTTCTGAACCACAACAAATGTAACTTCGGGATGATAGTTGGGTCCCAAAGATGCACATGCCTTAATTACGTCAAAAGAAGTAAGAAAATAAAAAATAAAGAAATTAGGTTTTTCTTATATAAATTAGAAACCGCCAATCAATTCTAAGATAGACAGCCAACAACACTGCTAGAAATCTAAAAGCTAATTACCTTACGAATAGCATCAAGTTCATAAAGCAATACTTGATAAAACTGCCCTTCACTGACACCATCCCTGTGGATTGAGCATGTAGCGAGGAAAGAAGGTGAAAAGGAGAGTGCAGTAGAACAGACACATAGCAAGACCGAAAGCAAAGTTACTATACCTATAGAAAATAATTCTCTGTGGCTTGTGTCTAGTTGCTTTGTAGAAAGAGACAAGAAGTTCCCTGATTAGTAAAAGCACAAATCATTATATTATGGTTCTCCAGTAATCATAAATAGCAACTCACACCATTCACAAGAAAAAAAAATCAAATAAGGGAATGGACGTTTCTTTTCAGTGAGAAATCATACTTGATCATGCCTCCTGTCACAGTCCCTCTAACAGGATCCTCCCAGGTTTTATACAAATCTTGAATGAGCTCTTGTCTATGGGCTTGAGCAGAAACCAAACCAGCGTATTTTGTGATTTGCAAATCCATGGAAGCAACAACCTGAAAGAAATTCTAGCAACAGTAAGCAACTTCAACAGAAGGGGGACATTGAATAAGAGCAATACATATTAAGCTAAGTTCCTAAAAAAGAGAACCCTACAGCAGCAATAGATGGGCTAGAATCCTCGCCCGGGTGGGGATGTGTGACGTCAGCACCAAATATAATAGTAGGCTTATCACTGACAAATGGTATCTTCCAATTAAGTGCATCAACAAGTGCAGTGTTACTCCCTCCCACCTTGACATTAATCTTCAGAGCCACATTGGCAACATACTGTCTGCTAACCCTGAAGACATGCTTCTGCAGACAGCACTGGGAGACAATGCCAAGGTCCGTCTCACATATACGCTTCAGATCACCTGTGGAAACGCGGCATCACTAAAACCATCAAATCATAATCCAGATTCACGACTTCTATAAGAACTAATGCCAAAAATCTGTCCACTTGTACCATAAAGAAAGCCATTATTGTCTGGTAATATAACTATCAACAAGTCAAGCTCCCTCCCTTGGGGCTGCAGTTTTGTCATGACTTCATGATACGTAGCTTTTAAGACTTTTTCCACCTGATCGGGGCGGGCACTCGTAACAGGAATAACAGGCTCTTGACTGAAGGTCTGTAGAGATAAACATAAATCAGAAGAGAAATAAGACAGTAAAATAATAATAGTCAAATATAATAAGATCCAAAAGACATTACCATGCCAGAAGTAACACACATTTGAGCAAGCTCGTGACAAAAGTTACGAGCCACATTCTCTGCTACATTGCGGGCAAAGTTAATGCAGATCCAACTGTTGACTTTGCCACCATTAACCATTTTCTGCAAGATATCAATCACATGATAAATGCTTTCAGCAATTTCGGTCACCAAAATATGGATTCCAATCAACTACCAAGAAATACTCTCCAGAAATATGTTAAACTCGCGTAAAATTTTGAAGATTTTCTTCTGGAAGAGATTATAGGTTGTAATTTCAGCTACCGCATATATAGGCAAAGTGTATAACAGTTCAAAGGGACGGATAGTAGAACCAATTGTATGTGAATATCATCAATTACAATTTCAAAAATTAACAAGAAATCAGCATATATAGACAACAATTCTTCCGACCTAACTAACATGACTATTTATGAAATTGAAATCACCTTATTCATCATATTCCACTGTCCAACTTGAGGAAGACAATCCTTCTCCCGACCCGAATCATGATATTTGAGCTATAAAAACAACATATAACATGCAGTTAACTTAAGAGTAAAACGACACTAAATCAAGACGATTAGTAATCTAAGTTTTTCAATTACCCAGGGAGCAGGTAGAATGCGAGCTTCAACTTTAGTCAGGCTCTCACTAATTTTAATTCCAAATTCATTGGCGAAAGAATCCTCTGCATAAGCATTATGGTGTACAGTCTGACACAGAAAAAGGTGGCCATTGCAGAATATATAAGAATAAACTACAGAGATTAAAATCCCAATACAGTAAGGAATTGGATAAAAAGAGAGTTCCTTAGATGGGAACATGAACTACACGGAATCACAAAGCAAAATGTGTTTACACGTATACATGCTAATAAAACTATCATCATAAACATTAACAGCACATAAGATAAAATCAAGCAGGAGCAGAGATGATAAAAGTTTATGCATATATAACTCTACATTCTCTCTATCACTGCATGCTGCCACAAGAAACACTAAAATGTTGTTGGTACCATCAACACTTTTTCAAGCTATTAATCCATGCATCAATAGTGGGTAGTGGATACCGCAAAGAAAATATAAAATTAAATTATTGTAAAGAATGCCATAGATACCTGAAGAATATCATCCTCCCTGTCACGGGGACGCTGACATGTGACTTTCAGAAGTGCACTGATCTGTCTATCATTCAACCTTTTAGAGTACCTTTGGCCCTCTACAATCTTGCAGACCTGTATATTAACAATATTTCAGTACCCTAAGCTGAATATATTGCTAATAACAATTAATTACAAGGGAAAGTAGCTTGACCTCCATTGGTAAATAATTTGCCTTTTGCTGATTTCCAACTTGCAGACAAGGCCACTGAGTATGTTGAATGACAAACCCATAGGTCTCTCTGAAGTATTCAACCACAGATTTCATTGTACGCCTTTCATCAACCGGAAATCTAATGGAAACCACAACTAAGATTTCAGAAAAGATATGCAAAAGGTCCTTCTAAATGGTATTAAAATAATATAATCTGACAATTTACAAATGCAGCCAGAGTGCCACAAGAAAAGGCATAAGGATATTTGGAATGTCATATGACAATATCAAATTGCAAAGCTGTAGATCCTAAAAGAGATTCTAATATAAGTTTAATGCTCAATTAATTATGTCTTCTTTGAAGTTACAATAATAATGAAAATCTAACTGTGATCCTTACGCCAACTCTCGTGTTGCTTGTGAAGTCAAACCAGAGATGCGGTATTTCCTGCGCATATTTCCTCGATGAGTAACCTCAACCTTTATTCCTCTCAGCGCCTTCTTGATCTGGAATTCCAGCAATTAAAATGAGTGTGAGGAGTCATAATTGTCTTGGAAGAAACAAATTTGTATTAAGTAGATGGACAAGAGGTTTCTTACACCATAGTTTGGTTAACCAGCTTTTATTATTTTGTAAAACTTTAGCCTCTATTTCTTTATTTTTCTGGCTAAGCAACTTCTTAAAACAATGTAATTTATTTCTTATTGGAGCAATAACTTCCATTCAGCTCATCAGACCAGCTATACTCATTACTAAAGGTATAACTCAAGTATTTCCAAATAATCGCTGTAGCTCACAAGTCACCCTAGTTAGTTGCATGAAAGTAGGATACTGTTGTTGATGAAAAAAATATGATTGTATGTCCCACCAAATTGAATTGTGTTCATGAATCTAGAAAATAGTGAGCTACCTTATCCTTGCTCCATTTCCAATGATTCTAAGGTTTCCTCAAAGCATATCTGTAGGGTTCCCTCATTGGCAAGATAGATGTCTACTCATTTCCAGACTTCAACGTGGCTTATAATAACAAAGAGGTTTTGGTGATTCTACAACACTTCGACTTTAAATCCCTCACTAGTCACTACGAGAATCTAGCTTTGCTAACTGGTGCAACAACAGAATGTGAAAATAAGATAAAAGCTTAATAATCTTAAAAAAAAAAAAAAATAACATGCACGTAATAAATTTGACTATCATCAGAGCAGCCCTCTTCTTATAAAGGTATTGGAAGAAGAGCTAAACTCCAAATTCTAGTGCACTAAGAAAAAGAAATTAACGTCCTAAAACAAGAAGAAAAATAATAATCTACTCCTAATAGCAATAGAAATCCTATCAACAAAATTGAGAAAATTTATAATAATCAATCCCAAGACTAGTAGTAATAATTGATTTCCAGCTACGTCTTGAACCTCACAATCGTCAGCACTCAGCAGA